TCTCAGGGCCAGCTCTCCCACATCTGTGACACTGGGGCCAGTTGTCCTGAGGGGATCATCTCTCTGGTGCCCAGGTCAAGTTTTGCTTTGTATCTGAGTTTTATAGTTTTTCCATAACAGCATACACTTTCTACCCGAGTCTCTGTTTTAGGGCTTAGACTCTTCCCTGTCCGTGAGTCCTGTTCTCACCTTTACCTGCTGTGATCACCCGTCCTTTCTGACCAAGGAACAGAATTTCAAGCTGAGAACCAAACCAATGTCTCAGGAACAAGCAGAAGCTCTCATTCTGGAAGCAGGGGGTGGGTGGGGTGGGTGGGGGGTGTCTGAAAGGATTGGTAAGCACCAGCATGCTTGAAAACACAACCAAGTGGTTAGATTTGTGAGTGCTGAATATAGACCCTCCCAGCCCATCTCTCTAAGCCAGAATCATGGAGCCCAGACCTTTACCCTCCGGGCAGAGTTAGGAAGAAAATGTTGGCTTAACGGAAAGGGCTTCTCCAGCTAATGGTCCATCCTGTTCCCCCTAAGGTAAAGCATAGACTTGTCAGGCCTCCATAACCAGAGCTTCTAGAAAGCCTCTGCATCTTCAATTTTTAATTACGAGCTGTTAATTAAAAGCACCAGGCATTTGAGGGAGCCTCTAAGCTGAAAGGTAGAGGCAGAAAGCAGCCTGAAGGAAATCAGATATCTTTTTAAAGTGGAAAATATGAGTTATATGATGAGAGAGCTGAGAGAAGATGCTGAACAATGGTGCGTCTTTCCATGTGCCTCCCTCCTGGGGACAGTCAGAGTGCAAAGAGCTCTGGGAAGCGGAAAAGCTGATGGCAAAGTGAAGAGGTGACATCAGGGGGTGGAAGAGAAAGCCAAACTCTGGTCCCTAGGAAGGAAAGCGTCACACACACACACACACACACACACACACACACACACACACACACCCTATACACACAAACACATCACACACACACACACACACACACACCCTATACACACACACACACACACACACACACCACACACAAACACATCACACACACACACCCTATACACACAAACACATCACACACACACACACACACAAACACATCACACACACACACACACACACACACACACACACACACACACCCTATACACACAAACACATCACACACACACACCACACACACAAACACATCACACACACACACAGAAAGAGAGAGACAGAGAGACAGAAACAGAGATTACTTAAAGGATTAGTTTATGTGGTTCACAGACTACATGAAATGAAGGAAGGAGGGGGAACGGAGGAGAGGGAGAAATTTGCCAGTGAAATAATTCGAGAAAATCCCCCACACTGAAGCACAAGGTTTCACAGGTTGGAATGAAAACTCTGGAAGCCAGGCAATGGTAAGACCTTTAAAATTCAGAACCTAAGAGCTTGCATAGATCCTTAGCACAGAATCTAAACATTTTAAAACTTGAAGTCTCAATGGATCCGCCTTCTGTGTATCTTCCCCCTGTTCCTGCCCGAGAATCTACTAGAAGGTGGGCCTTACTCAAATCCAAGGAAAGACTTGGTATAAAGAAGAGTGGAGCCGGGCGGTGGTGGCGCACGCCTTTAATCCCAGCACTCGGGAGGCAGAGGCAGGCGGATCTCTGTGAGTTCGAGGCCAGCCTGGGCTACCAAGTGAGTTCCAGGAAAGGCGCAAAGCTACACAGAGAAACCCTGTCTCGAAAAAACCAAAAAAAAAAAAAAAAAAAAAAAGAAGAGTGGAAATTCAACATTGAAGAGAAACAAGGAACTCCCTAGGGTAGCAGAAAAGCAAGCGTCCATATCAACTGCGCGGGCGAGGCCACCAGCTCCACACAGGGCAGTGTGAACAGACAGGCCTGTCACTGAGCAGTCCTCAGTGCTGGTCCCACAGAACCTCCCAAGGGGTTAAGAAGGAAGACTTGGAATCCAGGAGGCAGGGAATCCAGGTCTGTCTGAGTCTGGCAAAAGGACACTGAGGCCTGTAAGATGGAAAGCTCCTGATGGCACTGAGCAGCACCCTGGAGAGAAGCAGGTGATGTATATTTAAAGCTCCCTGTACTTAGGATTCTCGCAGGAAAAAGAGAAAACAAAACTTTGGAAGGATGTAAAGCAGAATGTCAACAATGCATATCTCTAAATGCCAACGTAGTTGATAACTAACTCCTTGGCTTATGTGTGTTTTCTGTTATTTGAAGATATAAGGTGTCCCTGTGTGGAAAAGGACAATGTCAGGCATGGTGGGTGCACATCTGTGATGTTAGCTCCTGGGGATGTTAAGGAAGGAAGAGTAATCTTGAAACTATGGAGCTACATAGCAACGTGTGTGTGTGTGTGTGTGTGTGTGTGTGTGTGTGTGTGTGTGTGTGCGTGCATGTGCATGTGTTTTTTTGTGTGTGTGAATTTGTGCAGTATGTGTATGTGTGTGTGAAGTCTTCTTTAAAATAGCCCAACACTATTTAAGTGTAAGATTTAGTAGGCCTTAAGATATTAATAAAGGTGTGCAAATGTCAATTCTGTGAATTACATGTGTGTCTCTTTAGCGAGAACCCCATATCCCAGCCCAATCCTGCCCCCATCCCCAGTCCCCAGAAAGTATTAATCTACTTTTTGACTCTAAATTATCAAGTCTGAGTATTTCATAGCAACGAAATCATACAACACAAGGTATTTGTGTTTTCAAGGTTCGGTCCACAATACAGCGAGGTTTGGTGTTGTACACTGTTTCCCAGGACTCTCATCCCGTCGTGAGGATATGCAGTGTTTTATGTATCCACTCTTCAATTGACAGGTATACTCAACTCAGGGCACAGTGCTGTTATGGATTCATGTACCAGTGTTTCCTACAGACGTATGTCTTCAGTTTCTCTTGGGTAAATACCCAGCAGCAGAACTGAGCCTTATGGTATCTCTATATTTAACTTGTCAAGGACCCGCCAACCCGCTTTCCAAACAGCCACACAATTTTAGATTTGGACTAGCAATGTTTTGAGCACTCCAGTTTCTTCACATGCTTGCCAGCACTGGTGTCTTTAGATGTCCCACTGAGGGAGAAGGAGCATCCCACTGGGTTTTCAGGAGATGTGCAAGTTTGCATGTGTGCGTGCATATGTGTGTGTGTGTGTGTGTGTGTGTGTGTGTGTGTGTGTGTGTGTGTGTATGTGTGTGTAGGCCAGAGATTGACTTCAGGTGTCTTCTTCAATTACTTCGACATGTTTTGTGAGATAGGCTATCTCACTGACCCTGGAGCTTGCAGATTTGGCAAACCCCAGGGGTCATCCTGCGCCTGCCTTTCCAGCTGTGGGGTTTCAGGTGTGTGCCACCACAGCTGGCTTTAAAATAGGTGCCAAGGATCTGAACTTGGGGCTTCATACTTGCACTGTAGACGCTTTATGGATGAAGCTAACTCCCCAGCCCTCTCTCAACGACTTTGATTTGCGTTTCTTGATAACTAGTGACAATAAGTATTTGATCCTGAATGACTGTCCATTAATACATATTCTTGGAGAAGTATCTACTTAAGTCCTCTACCCATTTTGAACTGGGGTGTTTCATCATGGAATACTTTGTTTATTCTGTACGAAAGTTCTTTGAAAACTCCCCCACTACACAGCTCTTAGCTTTCTTGGTAATATTTCCAGGACAAAAGTATTTTAACTTGGAGGATGCTTTTGCTGGCATGTGAAAGGGACCACTGCTTAACCAATATGTTGAGGTTAATATTCACCAGCAGGCGCTAGTTCAGCAGCGAGGGGCATGGGCCCCTCCCCACCCAGGCTGACGGTTGTCAGGGCCAGCCTTGCCAGGTCCTGTACAGGCATGCTGTGAGCTGCAATGGCTGGGTCATGCCCAGAAGATGGCATCCCACAGCTCTTCTCCACGTCCTCTCTCTCTTATCATTCTTCTGGCCTCCTCTTCCGCTGTGCTCCCTGAACCTTGGGGCGAGGGGATGGGGGCGATGGTAGGAATGCCTTATTGAGGGCTGAATGTTCAGGGATCACTTGTTCTCAATGCCTTGAGCAGTTTTGAGCCAACGCGCTCAGTTGCATAAAGTGTGGTGACGGGGCAGGGAGATCAGAGAAGCGAGGGATCACAATACATTATGTACGGGTATGAAATTGTCAGTGAACAAATTTACAATAAAAAGCCCCCAAAAGATTTATACTTCTGTTTCTATTAAGAATTTTAGTTTTAGCTTGTACATTGTAATGTTTGATTCATTATGAATTAGTTTGTGTATTTGATGCGAGAATTGTCCGAGTTTGCTCTGCTACTACAATGAAATGCCACAGGCTAGGTGAGCTGGTTAATTACAGATATTTATTTCTCATAGTTGTGGAGGCAGAAAATCCAAGACCAAGGTATTGGCAGATTCATTTCTTAATGAAGTTCCTATTGCTGGCTTACAGACGGCTACCATCTTGCTATGGACCTACGCACATTCTTTTTAATTCACAGGAAGAAAAGGAGAGGGGGAGAGAGAAACAGAGAGAGAGAGAGAGAGAGAGAGAGAGAGACAGAGAGACAGACAGAGAGACAGAGACAGAGAGACAGAGGGGGGAGAGAAAAGAGAGAGGAGAAGAGAGGAGGGGAGAGAGGAGAAGAGGGGAGGGGAGAAGATGGGAGGAGGGGAGAAGAGGGGAGGGGAGAAGGAGGGAGCTCTGGTCCCTATCCCTTGTCTTATAAAGATACTAGTTTCATTAGTGGGGTTCTGTCTCACAATCTCATCTAAACCTAATTATCTCTCAAAAGCTTCCCAATTCCACTGCGTTGGGGGTTAAAACTCCAGCACGTGAACGGTGACGTAACCCAGTCTGCATCAGTAATGTCCCAACTCATTCCTTTGCACTGACCCAGCAACGCTTGTTGAGAACACAGTTCTTTCCAGCACTGAATGGCATTGATGGACGCCTCAGTCTGCTGTCACGAAACCTCCAGAACTGACATATTTAAGTTTATTTGAACAGAAATTATTTTTCCCTCATAGATCTGGAGGCTGGACAGCGCAAAACTGAGGTGTCATCAGGCTTGGTCTCTGGCTAGTGCCTGTCCTGTCCTCGGCTTACAAGGTGGCCTCGTCTCCCTTCTCTGGAGGGAGGAACGTCTCTCCTTCTCTGGAGGGAGGAACACTGTCTTCACACAGCAGAAGGGACAGGAAAGGCATAATGAGGTGAGTACTGTGCATTTCCATCAGAGCACCCCATTCCTGGTCACCTCCTAAAGGCTGCACCTCTTAACACAGTTGAGTTGGCTCTCAGGCTCCAACACATTAGTTTGGAAATTTCAAGAGACACATTCGAAGCGTAGCAATACCTTCATCAAAAACAAGCTGTCCATAAAAACAATGTTTTTTTTTTTTTCTGGGCTCCCAATTTTATTTCATTGTCTGTACACCTGCCCAAATGCATCTCGATTGTGTATGTGTCACGTATTTTGATCATTGTTGCTTTGTAGGAAGTTTCAGTGTCAGAAATTTACAATCTCTAATTTTGTTCTTTTTTGAGAATATTTTGCTTATTCTGGGTCCCTTGCATTTCCATATGAATTTCAAAATCAGCTTATCAACTTTTAGGGGAGAAAGACACCTGAGATTTTTACAGTAATTGTGGTGAATCTGTTGACTTTTTTTTTTTTTTTTTGCCATTTAACACAATCATGTCTTCCAATCCATGAGCATGCAGTGTCTTCCACCTATTGGGGAATTCCTTACTTTCTTGCAATGCCAGTCTCATACTCTGTTGTTACCTTCATTGCCAAGTGTTTTAATTATTTCTGATGCAGTTATAAAGGGATTGTTTTCTTAACTTTGGTTTCGTAGTGTTCAATGCTAGTTCACAGACATACTATTCATTTTTTTTTTTTTTTTTTGGTTTTTCGAGACAGGGTTTCTCTGTGTAGCTTTGTGCCTTTCCTGGGACTCACTTGGTAGCCCAGGCTCTGCCTCCTGAGTGCTGGAATTAAAGGCATGCGCCACCACCGCCCGGCCATTTTTATATACTATTCTTTTTTGTTTGTTTTTGTTTTTGTATACTGTTCTTTTTATCACTATTTATTATTTCTACAAGTCTTTGTGTATATTCTTTGGGATTTTCTTTATAGAAATAAAAATCTTGTCATCTGGAAATTGGAACCTTGTTTTTTTCTTAGCTCATAATAGGTACACACACACACACACACACACACACACACACACACACACACACACACACACACACACACCTTGTCAGTTTTGTTCCTGTGAAGAACCATCCTAACAGACCAAATTCAGTGACTGCTCAAAATGGCCCAGTGTCTGCATAGAACCTGTGAGCACTCTTCTATACACTTTAAATCATCTCTTGACAGCTTATGCTACCTAACACAGCATGAACGCTACAGAAACAGCTAGAGTGGTAGATTATTTAGGGAATCGCAGCAAGAAATAAATATCTGTATGTGCTCAGCATGGACGAAGGTTGTTTTCTCCCCTGAACATTTTTGATCTATGGTTGACTGAATGACAGATGAAGAGGCCACAGGCAAGGAAGGCCAACTGTACTTGTAACCTGCCATAAAAAGACACACTACAGTTTTGAGGTTGACCTCAATTACCTCTTTTTATGAGGATGTGGTGAAGTTCCTGGGTGTGTGGTTGGGGCAGACCAGATGCTCTAGGGCAGGCTTTCATCATCTGCTGTCTCTCACTGAGCCCTCGCCTTGGGATTCTGAGTGCTAAGTTTTTGTTTTTTTGTTTGTTTATTTGTTTGTTTTCTGTCATGCTAAAAGGAGTTGAAATTGCAGCTTTGAAAAACTTCTTAATATTTATTTACTTTATTTTATATGTGTGTGTGTGTGTGTGTGTGTGCCTGAATGTATGCATATGTGTCGCATTCTGCTTTGTGCCTGAGGAGGCCAAAACTGGGGGTTGGATCTTCTAGAACAAACAGTTGTGAACAACCACATGGGTGCAGAGAACCAAACCCAGCCCTCCTGAACGAGTCCATCTTTCCAGCCCCTCAATAAGTAGATTTTTTTTTTTTACCAAATCCATTATAATAATTAAAGAGAACTTTCTACCCCCAGTTTGGACTTTCTAAGGATTCAGATTTATATTTTTAAAACATAAAATTTCAAGACGAAATCAACTTCTAGTCTGCTTGTGAAGGCAGCATATATTCACCATAAAAATATCAATATGAGAGTCAAAAAAATCACAGAATCTTTTTCATGAGTGAAACAACTGCTAATATTTGCTAGGTATCTGCCCAGATTTTCTTTTCTGTGCATACCTGTGCGTCCACACACAAAAAAACAGACACAAACATGCATAAAGATGAGACTATGTTGTAAAAGGTAGTTTGTTACTTTTTAATTAACCAATGTGTTACAACCACAAATAACACGGAGCTCTGTCTGAAGGTCTTATGTTGTTTTGTGAGGCAGAATCTTCCTGTGGAGGCCAGTCTGGTTGAGCTCCAATTTGTAATCCCCCTGCCTCTGTTTCCCTAAGGCTAGGATTAGAGGCACCTGCCTCACACTCAGCTTCCATTTTAACTTTTAACGGTTACATATCATTATGTATGTGGGGAACTGATCACTCTCTGTTTTAACAGTTACTAGTAGATATTGTATCTGGAATCTCGTGTATTAAAACTTAACACTTGCCCTATCTCTATATTACACATCCCTAGAGATGTAATTACTGAGCCAAAATAAACACCCATGCAGTACATTGATGTAAATGCCAAGTTTCTCTTAAGAAAGGTACCAGTTCGCATCCCCAACAGTGTCAATAGAAGTGCTTGCTCCCCCAGCACTGGGCATTGTCAATCTTCCTAACTCTGGCTGAGATTTTAGGCAAAGAATGGTGTCTTACTATTTTTAATTGAATTTTTTGAGCGTTGGGAATAGAGAACATCTCATCTGTGTGTGTATTGGCCATGTGTTAGGTATTTTGATTTTGCCTATCATTGTGCTCGATCACTTCTGCATAGACATGTTAGTCCATTCTTATCACTGTATTTAAACTTCCAGTACTTTAAAGATACTTACTCTCTTCCTGTATAATGTACAGAGGCCCAGAGTCATACAGTTTGTCTGTAACTTCCTCCTCCTCCTCCTCCTCCTCTTCTTTTTATCAGATCTGTGCAGTTCTAGGGCACTTTACTCAGGCTGTCATGGGATGTTTCTTCCTTGGCATTTTGCTGTGGGAGACCGTCTGCTCCTAATGAGAGGCTCTTCAGTAATGAGGAAGGATACAGGACAAAGAACAACTTCCCACTTCGTCACTATCTGAAAAGCTTCCGTTCCCCACCGTGTATGGAAACATCAGCTTTGTGATGCTTCTTCATAGGGTAACATCAAGACGTGTCCTGCCCCACCGGGTGGAGCTCTGCCATCAAACTGCCTCTGCGTGTGCCAAAGGCATCGGCTCATTCTTTCCAGTCTTCTGACTTGGACTTTGCAGACTTCAAATTCTTCCTAAAACCATGAAAGTCCAGATCCAGAGAGAACTCTCACACGTGGAGTCCTGCTTCCCACCAGCCCCAGTCTTCCCATAATCCCCCTCTTCGCACCAGCCCCCCCACTTTCCCACAATCCCCCTCTTCCCACCAGCCCCCCCACTTACCCACAATCCCCATCTTCCCACCAACCCCCCCCACTTTCCCACAATCCCCATCTTCCCACCAGCCCCCCCACTTTCCCACAATCCCCCTCTTCCCACCAGCCCCAGTCTTCCCACAATCCCCCTCTTCCCACCAGCCCCAGTCTTCCCATAATCCCCCTCTTCGCACCAGCCCCCCCACTTTCCCACAATCCCCCTCTTCGCACCAGCCCCCCCACTTTCCCACAATCCCCCTCTTCCCACCAGCCCCCCCACTTACCCACAATCCCCCTCTTCCCACCAGCCCCCCCACTTACCCACAATCCCCCTCTTCCCACCAGCCCCCCCACTTTCCCACAATCCCCCTCTTCCCACCAACCCCCCCCAACTTTCCCACAATCCCCCTCTTCCCACCAGCCCCCTGAGCTGTTTCCCTCATACTATTCCTCTAGTTCTCTTTTTAATGGATCAACTTGCCATGTTCTTTCTATTATCCCACTCGGTTGGTGAAAAGAGTCATTTTACTCCTTCTGTAAATAATTCTCCCTCAGAACTAAAACTAATAATCCTGGTCCTGTCCATGCAGAAAAGTTGAAGAGATTACCAAAAAAGTTGAAAACATTACCAAGAAATGCAAAGTTTGAAAAATGTGCAGTTATAATTTCACTACTTAGAGGTAATCACTGCTGATGTTTTTTTTAGACCTTTTTAGTGCCTGTATTTCTAGATATTTGCAGACTTTATGTCACAAAATGTATAGGTTTTCTGGAATGAAATGGATCATACTGTGGTATTGTTGTGAAATATGAAATGTCCATATCTGAAGATGAATGCTTGCTGCCTTTGTCCATGGTTGACAACCCTCGTCGTACCAAGCATCCTTGAGTCATACCCTCGGCCTCAGAAACGTCTGTGTTTTGTTCCACTGTCTCCTGTAAATAAATGTCTCCGTGGAGAATTTGGAGGCCATCCTGGTCTTTCTTTTGGTGACTTCTTGTTTTTCTGGGTGGATGTTTAAAGAATTCTTCCATGTTAAGTAACTTAGTTAGGCAAAGTATCAGTATCTGTTTGTGCGTTTTCCGAGATACAGACACAGCCTTCAGTAACATCTGTCTTTCACTTATAGCCTATTTTCTGCATCCCCTTCTGACAGCTCTCAGTGTGTCCTTTGCTTCTCATCATTTGGATTATCTAACTCAGCAGAACTGATTATGTGTGCTGTATTATCTACTGTTCAGATCCACCACAAGTCTGCCTGCTTCTGAATTGGCCGTTGCTTAGAAGCCTCTGGGTCTCCCTGACATTTGCTCAGTATCGATCATGGTGGCACTGGGTACCATCTCTCCTAGAAGTGATGGAGGACTGCACTTGAACTTTCTGCAGTTTCTCTGTCAATACTGGAGCTCCTCTTCTTGTCTGATTAATGATGATCAATTTTGGGGCCTTTCTCCATTTTGTATGATAATTAAAAAACCTTTTTGTAAGATACCAAGGAAATGATTTGCTGTAGATGTAACTGTCTTGTTAAATAAGAAACACAGAGCCAAATACAGAGTTAAAAGCCCAGAGGTGAGAGCAATAGCTAA